ATAGCCGGGGGAAAGTGTGGGAAATGTGTCGATGGTTTTCCTCGATAATATGAGATGAACCCGTACTTAATCGTTCCTTACTGGCTACTCATTTCAGACCCAATAAACCGCGCTCGGAACCTCAATCTGCGGAGACGAAACGATACTTGTGCACAAGCCCCAAGTTAGGGTAAACACCCCTTGTAGCACCGGGAGAGAGACTCTGGTGATATGTGGTGATGGAATATGTTTGCTTTGGAGTGCTAGTACAGGATGTAAAAGTAGTAATTGAAGGGGAGCCTACCTGCAGCTCGCGGTAGGTTCATATTATTTCCATCTTCCCACGCTATCTTTCTAACTACCTGCGCCCAACTGACCAAAGACATAACACGGGGGGGGTCTTGTGTTATCGTGGAAATCTCGCGTGCCAAAGTGGATTTGCTGTTGAGAGAACTGAATAGTTGGCGACGAGAGCAGGTGGCTTTGGCTGACGCATCACAGTACCGTAAGAATGCAGCGATATGTTCCTGACACCGGGTGTTGCTGTGCTGCGCGGGTTGTTCGTGCATTTGAACGTACTGTGCTGTACCGTGCTTCGCACAAAGTGACTTTTGTCAGCGGGCCAGGAGTTACTTCGCGCCTCACATCGACGGCCCAGCAATGATCGCTCAATTTGAGCCAACTGACTGACTCGCCGAGTCAGGATTTGGAAGTTTATTTTATATTTTATTTAGCGTTACCGCTTCTACCAGCGCTCACACTGCAACTTAGGCTGAGCGGTAGAGATAGTCTACCTGTACCGGTAGATATTCTGTTCGCACTGTTTGGAGGTAAAAAAAAAAACAACCCCAAACTACAGTAGCGCATCAGGTTCCTGCGCAGGGGTCTGGCGTTATATTGATTTTAATCCCCGTCTGTGTCGTCATGGTCAGACATATTGGGGCTCTTCGAAACGGTTAAGCGTTCAATACCGATAGCTGGCTTGACGGGAGGGGCAGGAGCAAAAGGGCGTAGCGGGCGAATTACTTTCTCAAAGGAACAACTTCAGAAGGTCCGCCGCTGCGCAGGACAGGAGGCTTGTCCAGCCACATAGTCGAGAATGAGATTTCAACGACTATCATCACACTCTTTAGGCTGTCGACGTCCCAATTGCTGTATCGGATACCAGCACGGTGCTAGAGCACCAGCGACAAGAGAGAGAGAGGGTGCAGTCCGTTTCGAATTTGTGTGCTGGAACCTTATCTGGAATGAACAAGCTTTTCTTGTTGAATAGGAATTTCATGTTCCAATGCTTCACTGGAACATTAAATTCGAACAGACTGCCCAACTCGGACATCCATGTAGTCAAAAAGATCCCAGATCCTGTGTGAGGAGGAGGCAGCAGCAATAAGGCCACAAGGATGGGGGGGAGGGGGCCTGCTGGCGGTGGTGTTTTTTGTATGTGCTGTGTGGTCTGCAAAGGTTACTCGAGTACCGTAATTGTACTGTACCGTACGAGTACTGTACTCGAGTGCTCGACTGATTGTGGTTGAGAGACGGCTTGGTGCATCCAAGGGTGTGGTACCCGATTTCACTTTGCGCACAGGGTGTTTCACCACACCCATGACTGCATAACCAATACGGTAATCCACCAAGCTTTTAACTCCATCTCGAGGAGAAAAACGTAGTTCTGCGACCAAAATGGGTGATGTCCTTGGTTTGCCCTCTCTCTTCGACTTTGCTGTTTTAAACAGAGCTTCGAGTACGCTTAGCTCATGTTGGTCCTTCTACAGCTGTGCTGTAGACAAATGAGTTCCTGATTTGATGACGGAATTGAGGCTGGGTGGTTGCTCTGAACCTTCGATTCATGATGATGGGTACGCTAAAACGCGCGCGTGACACACCCAACCTCTGCCCGTCAACCGTCCCCCAAAAACAGCCGTCAGAAGATTATTAGAATGACGGGGCAATTGAAGAAGAATTCCCTGTTCGGTGATCTCTGTTATGTATGGTCTGCAGTCTGCAGTCTCTTTTCTTTGCTCTGAACTTGACTTTTCTCATTTTCTTTTCTTTTTTCTCTCATTTCCTTTCCTCACTGCTTTTTCATTATGTAGACGCTTTTGGATGCTTCTGCTTGTCCTTCTGAAGCCTTGTCTTTTTCGGTGATCTTTTCTTCACTTCCAGTATTTCTCATTTTTTCGACACGCCCGTTTCCCGATCCCTTTCCTTGACTTCTTGATTGAAGAGAGGTGCAGTAAATATCAATAGGCTGGGACCAATCAATCGGAT